CGCTGCCCGCTCTTGTGCGGCGAAGGCCAAAAGCGCCTCTGAGATTCCCGTGTTCGGAGCCGCTGGAGACAAGGGGAGGTGGCGGTGGGAAAGCTCGGCACGTGGGTTTGGGGATCCGCTTGAAAGCGTAGGTCGCCTGCGCCGTCACCTTGGGTCTCTTTCCTGGGACTACCGAGAGATTGAGGAGCAGCTTCTGTAGTTCCTGATGTTGGGATGATAACGGAAAATGAAGGCTTTTAGTTCCCTAAAATATAGGGAGTGAATGCCAAGCTTTGCCTAATGTGTTTTGCCTGGCATGTGAGCCATGCTAAAGTTACTTTTGTCTGTCTCTAATAACTTGAATTTTTGTTGCTTAGCTGGCAAAGAAATACCACCCTGATACAAATAAGGATGATCCTAAAGCTAAAGAGAAGTTCTCTCAGCTGGCAGAAGCCTATGAGGTAATATGTGGCGTTTTGTTGTCATGAAAAAGAGGAAAGCTTGGAGGGTAGAATTTCTTGTGTGCGTTTCCTGTAAAACCGAGGCTAATTTTTCATGTCTTGCACTTTAGATGTGAGTGGCTCTGTCCTGACGGTGTCTCCAGAAAATTACTTAGCCCAAATATCTGATTTAGCTGGATGTGTTTTGAGCTGTTTGAATTTCACTCTTTCAGCGAGTGCCTGGCACAGATGCTGTGGTCACTGCAGGGAAATTATTGGCCAGCTTAAATAAACAAACAAAAAACCCCTGTTGGCAGTTACTATCTGAGATCAGAGGTACCTTCCACTGTGCTGCATCCCAGCCCTGTTTCTTCCCGCTCTTCAGCTTGTTCAGGAATCTTCTTGTGTTGGTTTTTTGCTTTTGTGGGTTTTCAAATTTACCCCAGCACTCTTATCACCAGCTTTTATGCAATATATAACGTAATTTATAATAAGCAAGAATAACTTAGTAAGATCCTGTCATTTTTCTGATGACAAGCTGAGAGATACCAGGGAAGAAGGAACTTTTCAGTAGCTTGTTACGCTGCTGAGAGCTGGGATAGCCCTCCTGGTGACAAGAAGGTTTGAGAACATGGGCTTGTGGTGGTGTAATGCCAGTAGCCTTGAATTCTCCCAAGAGACGCCGCTCTGGAGGTTACAGGCTGTCCAGTTGCTCGGGATCATGTCCTGACGGCATCGTTCTTTTGCCTCGAAGGTGTTAAGTGATGAAGTGAAGCGGAAACAATACGATGCATACGGCACGGCTAGCTTTGATCCTGGCGCAGCAGGTGCTGGTGCTGGTCGGCAGTACTGGAGCACTGGTCCATCGATTGATCCAGAAGAGCTTTTCAGAAAAATCTTCGGGGAGTTTTCGGGATCCCCTTTCGGCGATTTTCAGAATGTCTTTGACCAGCCACAGGAGGTATGAAGCGCATTTGTTTTCTGAGAAACAAAATGAAAATGAGAAATGGAAAAGACAAAAGCTGGAGAGGGACACTAGTCTGTCACAGATCGCTCCGGGAGCGAGCTTAAGCAAAGAATTTGCTCTGGGAATATCAGCACCTGAGTGTCCCATTGTATGGGTGGGAGAGTCACCTATTTTCAGTAAGCTGTGTGGATATATTGTCCACACCTTCAGACACAGTGGGTTTTTTTCCTGGACTTCAGTTCCTTCATCTGGTGTTTACTGACACGAGTTGGTGCTGCCAAACAATTCCATCATTGTAGAGGCATCTTTTCTGCTGTATGTTGTTTTCCATATGTCTGCTTTGATCTGTAATGCTAAAAACCACAAAATACCTTTTAACTACAAAACAAGCCTTCCAGCATTAGGTTTGACCGCTTAATTGGCTTAATTTTGCAACTTAATTGGCTTAACTTTGCAGTTAGAGCCCATTAATAAAACAAAACCTACGTCTTGTTCTTTGTACTGCAGCTAAATGCTCTTTTAAGTATTGACAGTGTTGATTCATGCGTTGCCTTCAGAAGCGCTTGGTATTCAGTACGCCTGCCTCTACTAAAAATGGCCTTTCCATTATAAACAGAATTTCCTATTTTGTGCAGTCATCTTTGCTGATGTAAAGAGTTTGTCGAGGGAGAGCTTGGGATTCGTTGGGATTGAAGGTCTTCTCCCTCACCTGGTGCTGCATTCCCATTAAACTAAGCCTTTAGAAGTACTAAGAGTTTTCCTCAGGGCAGAAAAACGCTTGACTTCTATTTTTACTTACTTCTTTTATGTTTCTAAGTCTCGTTTCTGCTATGTGACTGCTCATCGTTCCTGAAATGTTTGCTGCCCTTCTGTACCCGTCTTTATTTACATGAGACAGATTATTGCTTCCTCGGGTGAGGCAGAACGCCTTCTGAATCTGTTTCGTCCCACCCTCTATTACCTGGATGTATTTTAAGCATTGCTTGATATTTGGTCTAAAACAATTTCAGCCTTCTTAAGACCCCGCCACCGCATGTCAGCCGTAGATTGATATCTGTCTTTCCTGTACAGTATATCATGGAACTGACATTCACCCAAGCTGCAAAAGGTGTTAACAAGGAGATTGTGGTCAACATCAATGACTCCTGTGAGCGATGCAATGGTAAGGGACACGAACCTGGTACCAAAGCGCAGCGCTGTCACTACTGCAGTGGCACTGGCATGGTGAGTGCTTTTTAAGACCCAGGTTCTGCTGTGCTTCTCCTTCTGGGTGCAAGTCAGTCCTTTCCACAGTGAAAAATTTGCACTGCAGTCATGAGCATATCTTGGGTGAAGCTAAATTAATGTGGACCTGGTGTTAATATGCGCTAGGAAGATTTTCTTTGTATTAAAGAAGTGCTGTGCTCAGCTAAAAGCACTAGCCTTCAGGGGTAGATCATCTGGTATCATATATCCAGCAAACCATATTTATATAACGTAACTGTTCTGAAATTACTTGGGCATTAAATGGGATACTTTGAATCGAGGGGTGGAGGGAGGAGGAAGGTGACGATAGCCTGAGGGTAACTGTGAAATAAGAAGATGCATGTTACTTACAGTAAGTAATGATCAAGCTTCAGGCTTTTGATGTCCAGCCATCAAAATGAGTACCAGCAGCCAGCCTGTGACCACAGTGTCTTTCTGCACAGAACAGATGTAGTCAGTCAGAGGAGACAGCAAGCTCTTCCCACTCTTCCCTTGTGTGCTTCAGCCTGCCGGGTGGCTTTCACAGTTCAGTCCATAGCTTAGTCACCATATCTTTCTCCTGGATGCTGGCAATAATTCATGCAAGTGGGTTGTCCTCGGATTCCTCAAAATACAGATGTTTGTAGTTCCTTGTGAAACCACTGTAAGGAGCTTTGTTCCTGCCTGCACGTTAAATCCTAGAGATGAAACCTCGCGTTTCCCTCGCCACAAGACACTTGCTCATAGCGGTGATGGATTTCAGTGGAAATTGGAATGCCATGGCAATTGAATCTGATCCAGCTTCTCACGAGCACCATCCTCTTTGGAATTCTGAGCCAGTTTTTTGCTCCACCCCTTGCTAGAGGGTATTGCTGTCCTGTCAGGTTGCATGTGCAATTAGAGGGACTCAAATGTGCTGGACCAGTCACTGGCAGTGTTTTATGGAAGCGGAAAGTACCAAATCTTTGTACCATCTGTCTTTTGTGTTTGTTTTTTTCTCCCCCACTAGGAGACAATAAATACTGGCCCTTTTGTAATGCGATCTACGTGCCGACGATGCGGCGGTCGTGGTTCCATCATAACAACGCCATGCGTGGTATGTCGAGGAACGGGGCAAACCAAGCAAAAGAAGACAGTGATGGTTCCTGTGCCAGCTGGTTAGTGGTGTACTTGTGTGCTGCTCTCCGTTAAATAACTATAGTTATCTGCCTCCACTTGGCCAACAGCAAGGCCCTTGCCTCCAAAGCGTGGCTGGTCCCTTGCCAGGTACGAATGTGAGAGCAACATAAGAAGTTTTGCTGCAGAGAAGTTACAAGAGCAAAGCAGGTTGATAGCTTGGCAGTTGAAAGGACTAGTAGTGAGATGAACTTGCTGGCCATAGATGTAAATGTTTGGTTTTGCCCTTCCTGAGCTGAAGTTTTGGTTCATGCATGGATCCTTCTATGCAGCTTTTGAAGAGGGAAACTCTCAAAAGGTTTTGTTGCCCTGAGTCTTTTGTTTCTCCTTGATGAAGCCTGGGGAGAGGGTGGGAGTCTTGAAAACCTGAGCTTGGTTCAGAACAGTGTGCTGGTGGCCTTCCTCACCGGAGAGGATAAAATGAGTGGTGGGGCTGCAGACTTGCTTCATGGAGACCGCCCTGGGTGAGCAGCCTGTAATTTTCCTGCAGCTTGTGGAGGCTGCCCAGTGTTCCTTAGTCTGATCCGTTTCCCAAAAGAATTCTGTAGGGGTTGAAGTAACGAGCCTGCCTGGTGCATAGTGGTCACCTCAGAGGTATAAATGTGTGCCGACACCTCCTTCCTTTGGCCACGACTCCTGGGCTCCCGTGGAGAGTGTTGCTGTGGTGACTGGCTTTTGGGGCTGGCAAGAGTTGTAAGTATTCAAGTAACACAGGGATTACAACGCAAGGTAACGTTCCCTCTTTCTGATTGCAGGCGTTGAGGACGGGCAGACAGTTCGGATGCCCGTGGGGAAGAAGGAAATTTTCATTACGTTCAGGGTACGTATCGTTATATTGTTGGCTGTTTTCAGTACTTAAGTTGGTTGCTTGTTCCCTTTGCAACTGCCTGGGAGGTCTGACTGAATGGGGGACGGAGGAGGAAAAGTGAGTGATCCTTTGAAACAGCTGAGGTAACACGATCCACGTGAACTTTCTGAGATAGCAGAAGATCCGCATTGTAACAAGCGGTGTAACGTTAAGTCCGCTCATGAAGAATTGCGCTGCTCGTTCCAGGATGAGGTCCTTCTGATAAAGCGTGTCAAAATGCAGAGTAGGTTTTTGATGCCTTGAGTCTTTGACTTGGAAACGTGACGGAGCTGTCTGCTTGCACGGGTGGGAGCACTGAGGAGGACCAGCAACGCCCGTGAGAGGCTGGCTGCTCACGTGTGCTTTTGCAGACACACGTTAAGTGCCGCTTAGCATGTATTTTGTAGCTGGGGCCCTCTTCTCCTCTTGGGCATCCTGTCATACGCATCTCTGCCCAGGAGAAAGTTTTTTTTTAGCGCCGTTTTTGATGCAGGAGGATTTAATTCCCTTCCAGCTTGTGAGGCCACTGCAGAGGTGCTTGCCTCCCTCTTCTCTTCTGGCTTTTCCCTGTTGAGGGTACTGGGCAAGGCAGTGTCGTCTCTGTCTCTGCAGACTCATGCCGACACTGATAAATTAACAACAGGATTAGGGGATGGAGTTGCTGAGATAGGAAGCAGGCATCCTCCTAAGCCTCTGGCTAATTACAGTTATGTCTGCGTTTTTCTGAAAGACTGGACGTTTAACTTGCGCTTCTCAGCCGTGCAGTTTGGGGATGGTAAAGGGTGTGACTACAGCGTGCTGGTATGTTTTCTTCTGTGAACTTTCAAAGCCGTTTACTGTGAGAACTTTGTTGTGTTGTGCCCACTTCTCTTTGGAACTGCCTGCCTTTTAGGTTCAAAAAAGTTCTGTGTTCAGAAGAAATGGAGCAGATATCCATTCGGACCTCCTTATTTCAATAGCACAGGCTGTTCTGGGAGGCACAGCCAGGTGTCAAGGCTTGTACGAGACAATCAATATCACGGTAAGTACCGTTATGTGGAAGAGCTTGGGCATAAATCGATGTGGGACAGCAGAGACTTCTCCTTTGCTGCAGAGATGGTGCAAATTTCCTAAGTCTGCCAGTACTGTTTCAGACTTCTTCAGGATTGAGTGTCAAGTAGTTTGTGACCTCCTTTCCTATCGCTGTGTAGGGAGAGGGAAAGGAAGGGCTGGGTGAATTGCTGGACAAATCCCGTCCAACGTCTACAGACCGTGCGAGGTTCTTTACTTGTTCCTTCAAAAGCTTTTCTGTCATTATTAACTTCTGAATGTGTCCAGATGCATCAGCGTACCACATCTCTCCTGTCCTACTTTGAAGCTTGCTGGAGAAGTAATTCATTTTTACAGATGTGTAATTACTAGATAAATGGTTAAACTAGAGCAATAAACGTGACCTCTCTGTGTTCATAGATACCCCCTGGTATTCAGCCAGACCAGAGAATTCGGATGAGTGGGAAAGGCATTCCCAAGGTTAACAGTTACGGCTACGGAGACCACTACATTCACATAAAGATAAAAGTTCCTCAGTAAGTAGAGCTAATGCAAGTTTCTGTGAAATCTTGAATGCTTCTTGCAGAAAAAGTTGTTCAGAAAGATTTTTGTGAGAATTCTGTACTGCTTTATCAAGATGATTAATTTCCCAGTCTGCTTTTTTATTCTCTCTCTCTTTTTTTTTTTTTTTTAAACACTATTTGGCAACCCAGCCCTAAAAATCCTAAACCCTGGACATACATGAGTAGTTCTGCACCTGCCAATTTGCCTGGCTATCTGCGATGCCGGTTACATGAATTCAGTGTTCTGGCTTATAACACGTCTGCGCTCTCACATCTACAGCTTAAAGGAACTGAAGTACTTGGCAGCTGCTTTTCAGACAGCAGCTTGGCCACCCTCTGCTCCTGTGGTGAAGGAAACATTTTAGCTTGTATTGCTGCGCTCGGCAAGGGAGTTCATTTCCTGAGGTCTCCCCACCAGATGTGTGTTCTGTTGCCGCTCCACACGGTTCTTTCTCAGCACTTCCTCCAAAAATATTTTGGTGAAATGCAGTAGATCATCTCTCTCCTCTTCCACTGGGGCTTATTCTTTATAGATTGCCCATTTTAAGAGCACCGTAGGGATTCTCAGCGTATGCCAGGTGTATTAATCTTGTACTTCCAGTAGCTGCCTCTTGTGCGTGCTGCTGGAGAAGGTTAAGGAGGTCTGCGGATACATCTGTCCCTAAAGACAGCCATATCTGACAGCCAGCGCCTCTGTCTTTGACCTGCAGGAGGCTGACAGATCGCCAGAGAGCCTTAATGATGAGCTATGCCGAGGATGAGGCGGATGTGGACGGCACGGTGAACGGAGTCACAAATACAGCATCAGGTGAGCGGTGGGAATTGGCGCTTCTGGCTCGTGGGGTTGGCGTGGGAGCGCAGAGCGCTTCCCGAGGCTTCCTGGGGAGGACGGTGAGCCAAGGTCACCTTGAGACAGCCTTGTCAGCACAACCTGCCAAGCATGTTATATTGGAAGTAGTTTTAGTATGATGTTAATAGGCTGTAGCACAAAGCAAGGAGGTAGCCTCTTCCCAGAAAGCTTTGCTGGAATTCTTACTGGGCAAATCTGTGCATGAATAGAGAGCGGATACTGAGATACTTGGAGGTCCTGACGAGCTGCGGTGAGTCTCGCTGCGGGGATGAGTGCCTCCTGCTCCCTGCTTCTGCGCCTGTGACTTGTCTTAGCAGAGGTAGAAAAAGAGAATGTGCTTCGGGCCAGTTTTCTGTGTGAGCTAATCCGTTGTGCTTCTGACGGCCATGGGGCCGTTTCTCCTTGAAAGCTGAAGTCAAGGCTGCTCTAAGCCATGCTCTGTGCGCTTGGATAGAAAAGTTCATTGGTGCCGAGTGTTGGCTCCAGTCAGTAGACGGCGTCCAGCGTGATGGAGGGAGTGAAGTCAGCTGGGAGCTTTGTAAAGCTGCTCTTTCAGTCCCAGATCAACAGTTTTGGTTCAGCAATTACGTGTTTTAAGTTTCAGGGCTGAGGTACCTGGCATCAGTAGCAGCTAAAGGCAAGACATATGGTAGAACAGTAGGGCAAGAGCTTTGTCTTTTGCTATTGGAAAACAATTTTTTCTTTGCTCATTTATTCCAATATTCCAATATTCATTGGAATAATGAACTTCTGAAAGCTGGTTGGATTTCTTTTTATGCTTGAAACCAAAAAGGGCATTTGTGACTCTGTACGACTAGGCAAAGGTGAGAGTCTTTCAAAGCTGCTAAATGATCTCAGGAACTCGGGTCCTCTCCACTATGTATGCCAAAGCCTGGGGAATATAGGCTGAAGTTCAGGATATTGGAAGGCAGTATCTGCCAAATACTTACCAATGTTAGGTTTTATAGTGCTTTCATAACACAGAAGTTACGTCTTTTCTGCTGAGGGCAAGCATTGAAGGTCAGCCTTGGGGGGAAGGGGAGAGGTGTCTAAGCATCCAACTTTCATTCCAGCTTCTTAAAAGATGCTTATGTGCCAAAGGGGGAAAAAAAAAAACCCCGAACCTGCTCTCCAAATTTGTTTTTTAAAAAGTAAACCTGCCAGTTTTTACCACAATTGAGCGCCAAGGTGGATTAAAAACACCACCAGCAGTTTGCAGTGTAGAGACAGGCTGTTGCTGAAAGCGTGTCCTTGGTCTGGGAAGCAGAAATACCCCGAGTGGATGGAGGCGTGTTCTGCTGCAGGCCTCAGTATTTCATACCATTGCATCAGTCTGACCTCAGCAGTCAGCTGTGGGAGGACTGGGCTCTGTGTCCTCCGTGTGCAAAGAAAGCCTGAGGAGGATCCGGGGGTCTTGTTACTGGCAGCTGTACTGTAGAAAAAGGAGATTACCTCCCACTTCTGGAGGGGCAACCAACTTCTCGGGACCTGTTTATACAGGAAAATTATGCTCATTGCTGCCAGTAAGATTCCTTATCTGGACGCTTGTTCTGAAATACTTGTAGCCTTTTTCATTCTAGCCCAAATCCATTTTCTCCTCGATACTGTTTGTCTGAGCATTGCGTGAGAGGTGAGGCAGGCTCCCAGTATGGTTTCACACTGCTTTGCTCTAAAGGGTCACCACAACACCATGAGACGAAACGACAGCTTGTTCCAGGGACCACCGATGGAGCAGGTTTTTTTTTTTCCTGTAAAGTCATGGCTGACTCTGCTCAAGCTGACAACTTGTTTTTGGCGGCAGACTCTCAATTCCAAGTGCTTGTTTTCAAAGCCTGTGCGTTCCCTGACTCGATTGTGCAGCATGAGAATTCTCTCGCCAGTTGGAGGGCTGGGGAGAGGGGAAGGGAACGGTTGTACCTGGGCTCACGGTCTTATCTTCCACTTCTGGGGTCCGGGCTCTCCAGTGCTTCCATTGCAAGTGGTCCACTACTGTGGCTGGCTGCCAAGTGCAGCCCTGGGCAACCGCTCGTGGGCAGAGATGCCTGTAGACGAGGATGCTGGCAAAACCAGCGGACTTGACCGTTCCCCACCTAAAATAACCCTCTCATTTTGTCAGGGGTGCTGGCTTCTGGTGGGAGATGTATCTGACTGCAGCCCTTTGCTGTTTGTGTCCAGGTGGCAGGGCCACGGCTAGCGCTGACGCAGGCGGGGATAGGCCTGAGGCTGAGGAGAACAAGGAGGGATTCCTTTCCAAACTTAAGAAAATGTTTAGCTCCTGACACCCCATCCGAGGTAGGAGGCCTCTTGTGTTTTATTGTCGTCTTTCCCCCCACACCAAGCAGAACTTGCACTTCTTGGGAGGTAGAAGCAGCAAAAAGCATGGCATTGCTTCTCACTTAGCCTCAGGCCTTCCAGCCACTTGGTGTGAAAAGCCCTAGCTGTCCCCTGTGACCTGGAGCACTAAATTGCGTTGTTGCTGCAGCAAACAGCAGCAAAAATGCTGGATACATCTTCATGGAGGTTGCTGGCCTCCCCTGCAGCTCAGCTTCCTTGTCCACTCGGTGGCTGTACCCGAGTCAAAGCACCGCGCGCGTTCCCCTTAGCTGGTAAAGCTGGGACCGGGCGGTTCTGCTGCCACCGCAAAGCCCGGGCTTGCTGGGGGGAACGGGGGCACTGCAGAGCCTCCGGTGCCGGAACTCTCGGGCTGGACTTGCCCCTACCACAGGCTTGCAGCACCAGGAAGGAATCGGTCTTTGTCGTAAAGCACAGCAAAGCCCCTGTCACACAAAGGAGCACGGTGTGTGCTCGTTATAGTTGGTGTTGGCCTGCGGTGAGGGAGCGCTGCAGCCTTGAAATCATCTATGGCGGATTGTGGTGTCGTGGGTTCCAGGGGCTCAGCTTCCTGTCACCGCAGGCTTCAAACTTGTCTGCTCTGTGGGGAGGTGTGCTCGCAAAGCAGGCTGCGGGGGCTGCTGCGCGCCTGAGCCTGATTCAGTCAGGAAATGTTGAACTTCTCTTGCTTCAACTGCAGGGAAGCGTTCTACTGGAAACTAGAGCTAGCAGCAACAGGTCATCTTTGCAGTTGGGGATGAATCTTTCTGGCAGCAGGCTCCGGAGAGCGAAGGATGTCAGTCAGCAGCACCGTGAGAATCCCAGCTGGGGAAGCTACGTACCACTGAGGCCCCAACAATCAGCGTGATAGAAAACCCACCCACCATCCTACGACATGGTAATGAAGGAAAATGCCAGCTTTGCAGAAATGCGGCGCTCTCTTGAGGTTGCTCCACAGTCCCTACTGCTGCTGGAAGCTTACTTGGTAAAAATTAAAGTTGAAATATTATTTAGGATCCAAAACAGTGGAAATGTGAAATCAAAATTGTCCTTCCAGCACAGACTGGAGCAGTTTGCTGTATGGAGGCCAAGATGGCTGCTGCTCACTCAGGTGCCCTTCTGAATGCTGGATGTGCTTGGTCAGCTTGTCACTGCTTATCTTCTCCTAGGAGAGTGAGTTTTAACCCTGTCTTCACGACAGCCCTCCACGCTGTCCTGCACATCTCTGAGTGGGAAGTCTCCCTGTGGCTGGGACTCGTCAGAGCCCAGCTCTCCCAGCTCCCTCGGCAGCCGTGGGGTTTCTTAGTCCTGCTGATTTCCTGCACAAAGAGCAGTGACGGAATCTGCACTTTGCCTCAGGTTTCCCTCTCCCCGCCAATAACTAAAGTTACCACACAAATTCTGTCGCTTCTGAATGGGTACAAATTCATCACCAAGCTCTTTGCCAGTTTGGGACAAAGTCTTTTTTATTACACTAGCGCAACACCCGTAGCATAAATGATTGGTCAGAGAGTCATTGTTCCTACATGTGTGAGAATATAAGTAAGTGAAGTGGATCACTCCTTCCAGGTGGAGTCGAGCTCTTGCAGTGAGTATTGTTATGATTACTGTAGCCCGCTGTTGTTAGTTACACCGTGCAGGTACCATCAGCCCACATACTAATCGACCAGTTAAACAAGGACATGTCGTAGTCTCGCCCTTCTTAATTTGCTGAAATAAAGCACGCGTTGCCTCCTGATTAAACTGTCTGTAAAGTGATTCTGTATCCATGTAAATAAGATTAACTTCATAAAGATATTTAACATCTGCTGTGCCTCCCTGCCTTGTCTACTCTTCCAACCTTGTCTTGTCACCCCCTTTCCCTCCCTCAGGAACGGGAACGAAGGTTTTCTCTCGGATGAGGAGAGGACAGGGCTGGATGACTTGAGCATCTCCCTGGTGGCTGTGGTTGACTTCAAGCACAGACTGCCGAAGCCCAGCAGTACCTTAGCGTATGGTGGTGTGTAAGGGAGTCTTAAATCCTAAGGTTGGACAGTCTTGCAAAGGTTTTATGCCCGGGGCCAGCAGTGGAAATGTAGCTGTAGGAGCCCAAAGGCCAAGCTGCAGCTGAGAGCTGTCTGACTTGAGGAATTAGGCTCAGCTTTCACGTTAGGCAGCGCAGGAAGCCACGCTCTGGGCGTGCTGCTCTGCCTGCTGCCTCACCTGCAGGGCCTGAACCTGCTCCAGGGAGAAACCCCAGCGCTTGCTGTTGGCTTAGGAGCCGGCAGCGGTGCTGCAGAGGAGGTGCTGCCCCTGGGGGCCCAAGGGACAGGGCAGCGGGGCGCAGCGCGGCTCCCCTCCTCGGCCAGTTCTCGCTACCTGCTGCAGGAGCGTGGGTGGAAGAGAAGGGAGGGAAGGGTCAGAAGACGGCCTTAGTGTCTGCCACGTGTGGGCCTCGGGCCAGAGTTCCGTGGTCAGGTCCATGTTGCGGTCTGGCTTCAGGGCTTAGAAACAGAACATAGCGGCCATTTCCTTGACCCCGGGGGAGCCATGTTGCTTGTTTTCCTCCGGTGAGATCTGCAAAAAGAACTGGGGGTGAAAAACAATAGTGTTGCAGGGCGGAGGCTGCTGGGGCCTTTCCCTTACACCAAGCCGAGGAGGGCTGCGTTAGAGCAGCCTGCTGTGTCATTTCCACGGGTGAGGGGGGACCTGCGAGTCATTTCGGTGCCGTTTGTGTAAAGGCAGTGGCAGCCCTGCCGCGCGAGGGCAAGGTGGAGGAAAGCCCTGGAGGAGCACGCTGGCGGGAGGTGGATCTGACCCAGGAGTTCCACCCTTCCGCCGGGCGCGAGTAAGGGAGGTGGTGGGGCAAATCACGCCCCACATGCTCAGGAGCTTGTTCTGGATGTGGCTGGGGGGC